TGGAGACAAATTTGTTTACACAAAAATGTGGGCGACAAGAAGCAAAATTGCTCTAGGTCTGGTGCAGTTTAGAATGGTATACCTTCTTACGCTGCAAGTAAATTGAATAAAAATGATAAAAAGATGTTTATTGAAAAGGCAATACAGAACATTTAAAGTTAAACATTCACATCCTGCACACTTTTCACAGTGAAACAGAATCCTTGTAGGGAGACAAGCATAACAGAGGCCAGAGCTGTTCTTAGTTAAAAGTTTTAAAACAATTTCATGGAAGTATTCCAGGCTATGGTAAGCTATTTTCCATAATGACATACTTCTACTCACTAAAACACAGTGAAACTGTGTTGAACTGATGACTGAAGGTGTTACAAACCTAAGGCAATTTGTTTTCAAGGCCTGCAGTCCATCGCATCTATCGTTCAAGCATGCATCCAAAGATGAGTGCAAAATAAATGGTAAGAGGGCTGTTCCTCTTTAAAGAGCAAGTACTTCCAGATGAGTAATGTTTGCTCAAGGACATGTCTGACTTAGAGAAAAAAGGTTTATTTTGGTGGCTTTTCAGTGTTTTTGCAGGCGTGTGTTCTCTTCTCACATACCATAAGAACAACACGATGCCTGCCAGATAATAACTGTACAAAGTATCAAGAACTAGTAAATATAAGGGAAACAATCCGAATGTTCCATAGTTCAACCTTAATGCTGTATGTATGCTCGGCTGTGGTATTTCAGATTAATTTGATGCCTTGTCTTAAAAGTTTGATAAAACGTCACATTCTGACCGAGTGATTTCAGCTTTAAGGGTCATTTGATTTTACCTTCCCTAGTGAGGAGATGACAGGTCAGGAGCACAGTTTGAGACCGACAGCGACTGTACTTTTCCTGTCTGTGCTCAGGGGCTTCTTAGTGCAGCGTAAGGCCAAATCAGTCTCACATTTATAGAAACATAATTTTACCTCAGTTTCCTCAGAGTAAGAAAATACCTCACTGACAGTGTGGCTGTATTATGATGTAGTGGAGTCATGGTTTTCAACATCCACATAACCAATCAAACTAAAGCATTCTGATGTGGTTCCCACTGCAGTACAAACAATAAAAAAGCTCCAAGTAGACAAATGTCCACATCTGTTTGTCCTTAACCAACAGGAAATGATCCTGAAACCATTAATGTGCAAAAGACTTATTATTCATTTCCCTCCATATGAAAACAAAACCTTCAAGCTGAATGTTTCAGAAACATTCATACCAGCGCTCCTCTCCGTTCCTCCCTGAATATCACATTTACCAGTGGTTTGACTAAAAGGAAAATTCCTTTCTAAAAGCACAGCTGGTCAGCATTCATGCCAGCCTCAGAGTGGTGGCACACCCCTCACCTTGCGGATAACGTTGGCTATCCGCTTGGCCAATCCTGGGCTGGGCTCCTCTATCTGAAAGCTGCGGGTCAATAGGTTGTAGAGGGAGCCGTAGCCCACAGCCACCACAGTGCAGGTCAGGCAGATGACATTATAAGGCATGCTGAAGTCTGGAGTTGGCAGGTTGACCAGCAGAGGCTCTGTGTAGATACGCACAAAGTAGCTGGACTCCTCTTTACAGGGAAAACTGAAGGGAGAAGGGAAATTTGATCATTTGACTTTCCAGACAAACAGATCTGTCAAACAAGAACTCAAACACATAAATAAACAGAAATGGAAAATGTTTGTGCTTACAAGCTGCTGAAAAGTGGGCGTTCCAGAGTGCTGTTGGTATCCATGGCGGCAATGCTTGGTACAAGAGAGCTGATTACTGATGACCTAAATGTTGACACAGATCTTAGTTATTTTGAAAGTCAGAAAGAAATCACAGTGAATGTAAAAAAAAAAAAAAGTCCCCAGACATAATAATCTGTTCTCACGCCCCTCAAAATCATACAACACCTACAAGTTCATGGCCTCACAATGATGTGAGTGGGTATCTTCTTTCAGAAATTCATGGAATTAAGCCACCCTATGTGCATACCCGACATAGAAACCGTGGTTGGGATCAGGGGTGTATTCAGTCCATTTAAGCAGAGCCCTCTCAAACTGAACTGTAACCTCAGTGACGGAGTTGGGAGGAAGCTGGATGAGCATCTCCAGCAGGTGGGGCCTCACACGGTCCTTAGACGGCTGGTAGTGGATGTAGCCTGGCAGAGGGAGAGAAACATGAGTAACCACTGAACTGATTTTAGTATTTATCCACAAGCCTTTGAAAATTTACTATGTACATATAGATACCCCCCAGCCATAATTCTGAATAAATATGACTGATGATAATGTCTGAATACAAACAGGTTACCAAGATAAATAGGTAGAATGAAAAAACATCTTTCATTACAAGTTACTTAACACAAAATGACTCAGGTTTGCCTCCTTGTGGTGAAAAGAATCATCTACACTGGGGAGGCTCTGTGTAACTCATGTAGCAGGTACAATCATTTTACCTTAATTAATAAGGAAACAAAATATTTGTGGTGTTAGTAGAGTTACAATAATAAATCTCAACAGTTAATTTAACAGGTACCCTGAGCACTTCCAAAATAGCTCAACTTTCCACAAAAAGATGATGAATACAAACACTGGGAATCAGCCTCTTTGTTTTTAAAGCTGCACCAGTTGCATGATTGAAATGTACATGAAGTTAATAATGGGCAGAAACAGCCATGCTTCTGTTGTCTATGGTTATGGCAACGCAAATGAAACTGGTGTGAGTGGGAGATATTTGAAGATACAGTACTTCTCCTGATGACAGCTTTAACACAAACTGGGGGGCAGTGAGAGCTGTTTTGTACATAGAATTCTGTTGTGCATGTACTTTTACCAATCACAGAAAAACTGTTCCAGCATTTGGCAAACTCATAGAGTAGCTGTTCATTTCAGACTCTCACTACAAACTGGTGTGCACAACATGCATCATTCTCTGCTTTTTGAAGGGACTCACTGGGCTTGTTGTGCTTTCCCTTGCTGGTGACGGTGAGTGTGTGGATATAGAGGCGAAGATACCAGGGCACAGAGTCTAGCAGCAGTACAGGGAAAGACCTGTAAGGATGGTTGTTGTACATGAGTGTATGAATCTCTCCTGTCTGCAGCCCGTAACCGGCCACGTATCGCTCAGCGTGGAGCAGGGGCCGCAGCATGTCACCTGCAGGAGAGAGGGGAGCATGAGACAGGGTGCTTTAAAGATATAGTCAGCGATCCTACATCATTAAAACATTTTGTCATATTTAGCTAAACTGTCCTCACATTTCTCTGCCTGGCCTTTCAGTTTGTGTTCTCCACAAACCCCAGGTGGTGGTGTGTTGTGCTCCATCTCTAATAGATGAAAAAAGGATTGGCGTCGGGCTGGCTAATTTGTATGTGCGTTTAGCGGGGGCTGTAAAGTCTAGAGTTCAGAAAGGAAGAGATGGCTGAACAATTACCAGCTCCACCGCTTCTACATGACTGAACAACTGAGGAGGAGAAAAACAGAAGAACAAACTTCAAAAAAGAAGGGCTAAAATCAGGCTAAGTCAGAGACCCGTGTCAACATAGGTGCCGCTTTCCAAAGACTGAGAGAGCTCCTGAATTTAAAAGGAATGAGGACAGACACAGAGGTTGCTCTTTTTCTGCTGGACAGGTGGGTAAATTGATACTAGGTGGCACTGAAAACTGTTAGGGTCATTATGATGTTGCCTAATTAGGAAGGTCGATCTTTGTGATAACGTTACATTAGCAAATTAGGCATTATCCCTGTTGCATTAGGTTGCTAAATCAGCTTTTCCTGGGACATTCAGCTAAACTGCTAGCTTGCAAATGTATGTGGATGTCCTGATTTTAGTTATAGCAGCTGGAGATTGTTGTGAATAAATAACAGTGGAGTCTGTAGCTGGTCAGCCACATTTTGTGCAACAGCTCTTCCCCCAGTCATCATCATCGTTGCCATGGTGACACGCATTCGTGAATTCTGAGGGGTGTGGTTATGAAACCATAACTGATTCAGCTTGTGGATTTGTGTACATGGTGATCACCGTGTAAACATTCTTTTGTTAGAATCGCTGACAAATGTTAGAAGACAAGATTTTTTTTTTAATCATATAACACTGTTGGCCAATATATTTCATTTTATTTTCTATTATTTAGTTTGAATGATTTTTTATCTGCATCACTACAGTCTTGTAATATTTTAATCCTGGTTCAACTCTGTAAAGCACTTTTTAACTTTGTTTTGAAAAGTGCTGTATAATTAAGTTTATTACTACATTTGTTAGCAGAGTTAAAGAATACAATGTAGAACTGTGCTTTGCATCCATAACGGGAATCCAGTCCGTTTCTCTTGACTTTGTTAAAAACCTTCTGTTAATAAACAAGTTTCACCCTAATGTCTGAGACATTAACAGGTGATTATGTAATCTGTCTTTTATTGACCTTAGGGAACAAACAGGAACAACATCAAAAGGTCTCTGAAACAAAACACAGTGATCTAGAACACAGAGTTTCCTTTTGTTTTTGTTTTTTCCTCTGGAAAAATGTTTCATTGTAATCTGAAAGTGAATTCAGATGCTGCTTGTTGAGGACTTTCTGAATCAAAACCATGCAGACTGCATAGCAGCAGACCTGCATGTTAACTGTCTAAGTCCAAGATGAGAATAAAATAACAAGTAAAACCTGGAGAGTTACAACAAACGTGTGCCATTGGCACATTTTTTAAACTTATTTATAGTCCATCCAGTTGCACCATAGAAACCAGACTATATCCAGTGTGTTACACAAAGCTCTGTGTCATGCTCTGATGTGTTCGCTCACCCTCATTGGATTTCCAGCGGATCAGCAGGTTGAGGGAGCGCACGGTGCCAAAGGTGATTTGTTGGGTCAGATCGTAGACAGAGAAGGTCCGTCTGTCCCCCAGCACCAGTGCCTGGCTCAGTAGAGGTGTGGCTGGGCTCAGCTCAAACTGCTCCCACTGCAAAATGACATCATATTTATCTCAGTCAAAACTGTTGCAGAGCTCTGTTCATACTGTCACTTAGAGAAGATGTATTCACTTTATCATCAGCTATAGCTAGTAATCCCCCTTTGTGTTCTGTGAAATTTTGAGTGGATGTAATGCATATCAAGAAGAAATCAAACCTGAGGGTTGTCTGTGATGTCGATATAGATCTTACTGGAGGAAGCCAGCGGACAAGCTTCTGTCAGAGTCCGAGAGAACATCTTGAACAGAGACCACTCTGAAGGAACAAACAGGTTGATTTAACTATGACCAGGAAGAGATCACTGTGCTTTTCTTTCCTACTACTGAACTGTACAAATGCAGGAAGAATGTGCTTTTTGCTCACCTCGTTTGCCCTGTCCAGAGGTGTGCAGGTCAAAGACCACATTCAGTGTCTGTCTCAGCTCCCAGGATGTGGTTTTGCACAGCAAGTCCTGACACACGGGTCTGATGTGCACTGCCTCGGAATGAAAACTGCTGTGGAAGAGTTTCTCTGACTTCAACAGGACAGCGAGACCAGCCTGTAAGTGCAACATGACCACATAAAGAGGCAGAAGAAGAAACTTAGCTGCTTAGAAGAAAGTTAGCTTCAGTCAGCAACATTTGAACAATGAATTTCTGTCATAGGCTGTGAGACACAACATTATGGATGTCAGTAAGTGTTTCATATAAAAGAGCGCACAAAGCATTTGGGTTCTTTCTATTTTTAGAAAAACATCAATGAAGAGAAACACACCTTAGAGCCACATGGCAAGAGTTTCTTCCAGGGTGTCAAATTCTCAGTGCAAACAATCTCTCGTGGGAGCGTGGCATAACGAAGAAAGCGGTGGTCTGTCACTTCAGGTTCAACACAAAAAACAAAAGTCAGTTTATATGTAATGCAGTGCATGTGTGCTGCAAGAGGTCAAGGTGTCTAATCACACCATTAGCACAGACTACAAAATGCAAAGGAAGATTGAACAAGCATTACTGTACCATTGCTTATACCCAGTGGTTTGAAAGAAGCACTGGGCTGAACAGTGTTGGTGGAATCAATGAAGTTCAGCGAAGCACAGAAGATCCCTGACAAAACATTTGTCAGCTCCTTCCACATGCCATCCACACTAAAAGGGACAGAACAATGGTATGAAAGAGTTAACACAACTGACAAAGCACACACTAGAGAGTTATGTACACATATGTATAGCAAACATGTATAGCAAAATATAACTCAATAGTAAAATAACAGTGCTCTGTGCCAAACCTAACAATCACTTCCATGCAACACAAACTGTGTCTGTTTCCATAGCCAATTATTATTTGCACAATAAAAATAACTCGGCATATGTGCAAACTGATAAGAGTTTGACTTTCCAGGCACAGATGTAACACTGTGCTGCGTTTTTCTGCCTGGGTTCAAGAAATTCATCATAGGATTCGTGTTCTTTACTTTTTTGTTGTGCCCAGTTACCCTCAGTATACCACATCTGTTTCTGACAGAATTAGTTACTGTTTACATTTCCCATGACTTTAAAAAACCCAGCAGTTTGTTTTTGCTTGAGGTGTAAACATCAGTTAGCCAACTAGTTCATGAGAACTGCACACATCAATTATCACACCAAAGTCTCCTACTTAAGACAAAACCTTTTTATGGCCTCTTTTGTTTTCTATTGAACACTAATATACCTGCTGCTTTGACTGATTTCATCCTGCAAAACTGCTTAGAACTGGTGCAAAATAGTGGAGCTAGGAAGGCTTTGAGCAACAGAGGGCTATACTCACTCTGTCACAGAGTCCTGGAACCAGACCCAGAGTTCAGCACCTGGAGGGGACGGCAGAAAGGGTTGACCCCATTGCATGGTCCTCCAGTATCCCTGTGTAAAGGAGATGTGCAGCTCTTGCACTGAGAACTTGGAGATGACCTGGCCCAGAGACTTGGGGAACAGCCGGTAGTGGGACACTGAAAAATATAACACATTTATGGATTAGGGTGGGCAAAAAAAAAAATCATTGTCTAATGATATGTATGCAAATTAATAACAAAAATAGCAAGAGTTTTTGGAATTTTGTAGTGGTAGTGGTTATGGTAAATAAAAAGCAAAGCAAAGGCTGAGTGAATGAACAATACTTTATCTCGTGATTTCCTCAAAATGGTAAGTCTAACTTATGAAGGAAAAGATATTCCCTGGGGTAAAATAACAGGGTGCCTGCAAAATTTGGGATTGTTAAGACCTGTTAATTTCAGTAAGGTGAGAAAAGGAGGATAGATTCAGAGCTTAAGAACGAAACTAAGAAAAAAAAAACATTCTGAAAACCTGATATTGAATGAAAAACACATGCATTTATATACATACAGACAAACATCCAGATACACTTACATCATCAACATCATCTAAATGGAGAGCACAGATTTTTAAATGCATTTTATTACCATACGGAAAATAAACACGTCTAGGATGCTAAATTTGAGTTAGAACTCTCATTAGCCCCTTTCTACTAAGGAACCATTTATAAAGAGTTTATGGGATATAGTGAATTGTTTTATGCATGGTTTACACCATTTTCAGATGTGGTCAAGTGGTACTTTGCTGAGGCTTCTGTAATGTATTAAGAAGCTAAAAAGACAAACAATGCGTTGTGCAGGAGAAAGATCTTCTACAATCTGGCAACCCAAGAGTTCCACTGAGTGGATCACAAATGAACTTTAAAGCATTAGCAAATTATAACAATATTTTAACCATTTATGAAGCCATTAATTACAGCTTACAATGCCTAAAAGTGTCTTAAACATAAAGCTGGCAATGTCTCCTATTTCTGACTCAAATTTAGCAGCTCGTATCAGTGTCACTGCTAACAGTTAGCTTACCTTTGTTTCCTTTCATAAAATCTGTTTCCCACAGTGTGCGGAATTGGAAGCTAGCATAAATATCTCCTGAGTGAAGCGGTCTGATTACTAATTCCTCCTGGAAATCGTCTTTCAGCTGTGGTACCGTTAAGGGGACTATGGTTTCAGGTGCAGAGGTGTCCTTTTCGTCGATATCAGAATCACCCGGAGTCGCCTCTTCAACATCTATAGCTTCCCACCGCCTCTCCTCTACCACGGGCTGCTCGGTCGTCTGTTCTCCTGTTTCGGTGGCTGTTTGTGTGTTGTCGACCTCACCGACATGGTGAGCACCGGTTAGTGTCGTTTCTTCACTGTCTATGGCAGTAGACACTGAACAAATACACAGAATAAGTAACACAGCCGAGTAGCTGCACCTGTAAGCTGCCATTTTTCTCCTCCGGTAGTAGTTCACTTCCGCGTTGACGCGTCATACGTTAAACCAGCCAATGGACTGCTGCCATTATGGAGTCCTGTAGCTCTGAAGCTCTAGAAGCCAGCTTTGTTTTAAGTGAAATGATATTCTTAGGTTTTCAAATATTTTATTAATAAACACTATCCAGTAAAACTACATAGTTTTTACTTACTCTCGCTCTACTTAATCTTGCATCATATGGCGTTACAAGGCTTGCTTAATAAAACTTGAGTACACTTTAAATAAATGCTACACTAGAGGTTGTGTATAATTATTTATGTTGCCAAAGACCATAAATTAGCCTACATAAATATTAAATAGGCTATAAACTCTTTCTTTAAGATGTTATTTGGTCTGCTGAATTTTTGGTCGTCTTGCTGGACAGGCACAGGCATCATCGGGGCATATCACCCCTCCCACATCCACACACATCATCGCGCACACAACCTAGACACGGTTACGCACATACACACGGTCACACACATGCATGCACACACACACACACACACACACAAACACACACTGAATTTCTGCTCAGCCATGGCTCCTTGGTAGATGCTCAAAGCGGCTGTTGTCAGAGCGAATTAAATCTGCACTAGCTCGCTGCTTTCCTCTTGACCTTGCCTGCCTCTTGTTGGGGTTTCAATATTTTATTCAGGATTCTTGTGCTGTCTCCCCATGGCTACATCTGATGGACTAGACGGCTGTCTGCAACGAGGCAGATCTCAAAGTGACCCGAACATACTCACCGAACCGGGCATCGATTTGGCTCACGGCACAGGTAAGACAGGCGCGTTATTGTCTGGATATTTAGGCTATTTGGCAGGTGTTTTTATTTTGCCGCTTTGGCGATGCAGCGGTTTCCAAAAAGCATCCTTGCTTGCCCAGTGGGATAGGCTATCAGAACACCAAGGGATAATTAGCGCATATGGCCCCATCCTTGGACGTAAAATACAGACTGTAACACTGAATCTTGGAGCTTCAAATTGAAAATTAATGTGCCATATCAGCATCTATAAAACGCTGCTTGCCCACTCCAGATTTGCGCGTTATAAAGATGACTGTATCCAACTGGGCTGTTACGGCTGCAAGTGGTATTTAGGAAACAGCGTGGAGGCCTTTTAATATGAAATTAACGCATGCTAAAAACTTAAGGTAGCCTATATATTGCCTTCTCTATGATGCATCCTCCTTGTGCAGCGCAATCCGCATGCATGTGTGAGCCACGAAGCCAGGACAGACGTAGACTGTTGCTTTATCTGAGTCACCATTATTCTATAGCCTCGAGACACATGGGTTTGGCTTTGGGTTTTGGTGTGTTGCATTCTAAAAAGGCGCATGTACAACTGCATTGCATAGCCCCTTGACAGCCCTAACATATACCCTTTCGCTCTTGCCCCATATTGAACTGATCACTGTGGTGATCAATGACCGGTCGTCCATGTGAGGTTGGCTATAGGTAAGGAATAGCCCCGTTTCAGCACAGCCATGCGCTCAGAAGAAATCGATTCATCAGTTGGTGGATCCTGCAGGTGTGCAGCTTATTTCTCTATGGCCTGTTAGTTGTCCCCCTGCATATGGAATAATGAATTGATTGTTTATTAATAAGAGGAGAACACCAGGGAGCAGTCATGTTCTGCACTTTTAGGAGTAACTCCAGTAAACACACATGATGTGGTTCTTGTTGTATTTGCTGTAAATGCTTCTTATTCTTGAATTACAAATATAGGTTACTGTACCTTCGCTGCAAATACATGGCTTGATTTTTTTACTTAAATGAGGCTATTTTTGGTCAGATTGTGTGGGCTTGGAAAGAGATCATTGCTCACTCCCACACATGTTGAGTTTTACGCTCATGAAGAATGCTTGACTGAATGATTCAGAAAAAACAGTGTCATTCACCTTTCAACTCTTCACTAATGAGACCCACGTTTTCCCCCCTCATCTTGGCAGTCACACCTCTCTGCACTCATCAGCTAGCCATAGCACATTTTTAATGGGCCCTTGCTGAATTCAACCCTCCTATGGACGATTTAATTCACACATAAGTGGATGTGATAATGTCACACTGGGTCTTTGACACACCAGAATAAACAACACAGCATGGCAGATCAGACATGCTAGTGAGGAGGGCTAAAGCTAATAAGCAACAATGAATATCAGCCTTTAAAACTATAGAATATGCACTATTTTATTGTTGTCTAACTCAATATGCTATGCAAATGAAAGACAGTAAACACAGTTGTCATTGCAAGGACAATGTCAGTGTCTGCTGACCCTAAGTACACAACATCACCCCCCCCTCAGTGTAGATCATCACTGTGCTAGCGTCTGGGACACCAGCCTTTGCCAAAGTAATCCTTTGGCAAAGGCTGCCTTTTTCCCCCACACAGTGACCCTTGCAGCTGCAGAGGCTGACACTGTATTCATCCACTTGCTCAACACTGGGGAGGAGAACAGAGACAGCATCACATCACAGAGAATCAGAGCAATGTTTTCTCTTGAATGAAGGTACAGTATTAATAAAGCAGTGTTCTTGGAACCTCAGAGAAGGCCAGTTCAGTATAGGTCTGAACTGAATTGTCTAAAGGAACATTTCTAAGGGTTCATGTTTGACACAGACATTGTTTTCGTTATTTCTGCTTTTTTCTGGAAAAGTCTGAATTTCCTGAGTTTGTAAGTCAGGTAACAGGAGCATTAAAACTTTTTATTCAGTTTGTTCAGACAAGGACACTTTAGATCTCATGCTAATAAAGTGTTACTCTCTCTCTCTCTCAAACCTCCACTTAGTCATTGCAGAGTGTCGTTCAAGGTAACGTTGTGAAGAGGACACCTTGAAGTGTTGCGTGTCCAAACAGGGCTCTCCCTGTGGCTTTGTTCCATAAAGTTATTCTTCTGTCCCACAGAAAGAGATACAGATAGAGAAGCACTGGTTGGGAAGGTTTAGTCAGGATGTTTGGAAAGAGTCACCTCAGACTCCTGTTGGGACAATATGGTGCACTAATATGGTGCAGATATGGCTGCAGCTAAATATTCTATTTAAAACCTGTTTAATTTTTTTGATTACTAATATTAATTCATATAACATGTAATAAAATTGTGAAAAATGTACATCACAGGTTTACCAGAGCTGATGTGGATGTCTACAGAGTGCTTGCTTTTACCAACCAACAGTTCAAAGCCCAACATACTCAAATTTGCAATGGGAAAAAAAGAGAGAGACACAGAAAAACAACATATTCTTCTGTTTGAGAAGCAGGAACTAGCAAATTTAGTATTTTGAAACAACTTATCAAAGTTATGGTAAATAGACTTTTGAATTAATCAGCTAGTTTCAGCATTAGTGTAGGGGCAAGTGAACAGCTACCTACTGTTAATATTCATGGAAAAAAACCTATTTTTACTTGACCTTCCTCTTGGGAAGACAAAGAGCAGGGTAACTGAAAGAACAGTGTCCCTGGAACTCGAAGGAATTCAGCGGCTCACGCAAGGAGACTTCAACACGGTAGCTCTTTGCTCGTGGACAGACAGACCCAATTTGTTCAGTTACAGACCTGTTTCTAACCAGCAGCGCCCATTAATCTGGGGGTTTTTGAATCTCATCCTCCTCCACAGGTCTTACTGATACCTGGCTTAACCTCTCAGATCTGACATGAGAAGAATCTCTGAGAACTGCAGGGATATGTTGAGCCCTCCTAATGAACAAGGAGACTGTATATCAAACCTTGCGAAAGCTGATATTGAGCCATGACGATGACTCACCCCCTAAACCAGAGCAATGTCTTATACATAATACCTCCCTTATGCTCAGGCCTTGATGAGTAAATATGGGAAATTCTGAGTCAGCGGGTCTTATATAATGTACTCTCTTTTTAACAAGGCTTTGGTAAAAAATAAGATATACATTCTTGTATTGCACCAAGCCCCTGTTCTACCAGCAAGTGCTCATCTGAAGAGGAAAAGGACAGCTAAAGGTGAAGACGCAAGAACATGGAGGCCCCGTAGGTCTAAAATGAGAACCTAGGTCACACTAGTATCTGTACAAATGGGTGAAAAATCATACAAGGGAGAAGTTTAATACCAGCCTAGTGCTGACCAGCCATGAACGGGAAGACTCTTTTTGTCCATCCTGTAATGTGGCATTCAAGAACCCTGAACAGTGTGGAAGACATGGACAAATGTGCTCCTGGCGTGTTGTATATATTTATCTGACAGTTTTTCCTGAATGAATTTCAGCATCTTCTAGAGTCTGAAGACAGGGTGTGAACTTGCATTTAGTTGTACATCATATGTGTTAAGTGGATAAAACAGCAGGGAGAACAATAGTGACTGAGAAATGAGATTTTTTTTTTAGTCTAGAAAAGTGAGAATCAGACAACAGAAAATAATTTCCAGTTCAAGTCTGTAAATGCCTTAGTGTGACATGATGCTCTTTATGCCTGGCAAATATACACTTTAAATTAGTAAAGCAAACGTCTTTAAGGGGAGATTTTTATATATAAATATACATAGATTATAGCACTGTTAAATTCTCAGTAGAACCAGTTAGTCAATCACCAGAAAACTAATTGGCAACTATTTTGATATGTGATAAATTAAATTAAATACCAAAAATTAAATGGTTTCATCTTTTTAAATGTTAGGATTCGTTTATATCATTGTAAACTGAATATCTTTGAGTTCTGTTAATTTGAGCAAAACAGCATCTTCTTGGATTCTGTCATGGACATCTGTGAGAGTTTATAGAGAATTAATTTATGTTTCAGAGTAATTGATAATAAAAACAATCAGTTGCAGCCTTAATTTTCACAGTGAATTTTGGAGCATCCTGTGTCCTCACTGGCCAAGCCACCAGTGCAATGCATCCAGAATCAATAGGAACATTTCCATCTCACACATTTGGGCTCTTTTATATTGAAGTGTTCTTTAGCTGTCATCAATGAAACACAGGAACACTTAAATTTAAATGCACAGATACAGATGATGGACACAAGTTTACAGTATCTGAATAGACATTTAGCATTTACATTACTGTAGTTGGTCTTCAGATGAACCACCTGCACCTAAATCAAGCCCAGCCTAACTAAGTCCTTACTTTCTATTTTCAGTAGTGGAGCTGTAATTCACATCAGAGTCACGGCTCATTCTTCATAGTCAGCCTTAAGGGGACTGTGAGTCAGTCAAGGCTACCTGTTAGTGTTAGCCACTGGAGAGCTATTCAGTGTTCCCCACCCTGATGCACAGAGGTGCCCACACAGGCGAAGTAGAAGTCAGGTCAGACACTTTATCTAGCATCTCAAGTCTTACCATCATGAAAATTTTACCGTTATTTATCATTAATTGATGTAGTTGAGGCTGTAGGAGGCAAATCTTACAAAAGCAACTGTATAAAGCTGACACATTGAGATAATGATGCAGTGATAGTGACTCATTCAGTCAGGCACTTCCATAAAGGGCACGAGGAGCCACTGAATGGCTTGAACAATATGAAAATGATGTGGCCTTCACAGTAATGAGATGTCAACCAAACTGAAAACCAACAACTGTATACATTTGTACATTCTGAGGCGACATATTATCATTCTCTACAACTTTGAACTTTTAGAAAGTTTAAATAACCTGTGTAAAATGTATATTATTTGGATAATGAAGTGCAAGAAATACCTGGAATGTCTAGGCACTGATACAACACAAATAAATTCAATATCGCATTAAAGTAGATCTGCTCACGGTTTTGCAACACTGCCTGCATTGGCCTCGTTCAACCAGAGAATCAACAGA